GGTGAATTTTCCAAGCAATACATAATCAATGTCAAATTTATTAAATGAATATTCAATTATATTAAGTAGAGTCAGCGTGCTTTGATATAGAGCTGTATACGTTTCTGGTGTCAGGTGTCCATTATTATTCTCTAGATTATGCCATTTTTCTAACCATATCAGGCATTTTTTTTAAAAATTGTACTCTATAATCATATTTATTGGTAATAGGCTTACAAAGTTCGTTTCGCTTCAATTCTCCTTTTATTACACTTGTATTACTGATAATATCCCACCAATTCCTATTATTTCCAAAAAGTGTGCAGCATCATTAAACTTTAATTCTTTCATAGCAGCTATTGTTGAGTGATGGAATAAATTATCTACAAAATTTACATTTTGCCTTTCAAATGAATTTGGATGCAATATTTTATAATTTAATTTATATGCTTTCTCAACTACAGCTTCTTTTTCCAATTGAGATACAGCACGAATGTTTTCAAATTTGGCATACTGAATAATATCATTATTGTCAAAATTAGGATATACAAAAGTTTTGTCTAGGTTTTTAAATTAATCCAATTATTTCTGATACTCTTGAAAATATGCACAACATCATAAGTTAAATATATGTTCTTATCAGGATTATGTGGATTTGGAATAGAATAATTTTTTGATGAATCCTTTGCTAATTTCCTGAACATTGCTCTATTAATTCGGTGATTATCAGTAACAACACAAATAACTTCAAATCCACATTTTTGAACTAAATTTATCTTTGATCTTATCCATATCATCGAAATTCTGGATAGCTTTTTCATGTTTCTCAATTAATTTTTGTTTTCTTTGCATTGGGTCACTTCTTTTGGGTGCTTCAGTTTTTGAAAGATATGATGGCAAGTTTGGGAAAATGGAGGGAACAGCATTTTCTTTCAATTTTGGATATTTCAAAGGTATATTATTTTGGACTGTTCCATCCGCCAAAACTATATTTTCAGTCCTGATGATATCCGATTCTCTAAAATGACGACTGCACACAGCTGAATATTTTGAAGGTGTCCAATTTTTTCTGGGAATTGCCATAAGCCATTTGTTCTTCAGACTTTCGGTACTTGGGAAGCGAAAAGTTGAAACATAGCTTTCTGTTTTCAAAGCAGAATTATAGTTTGCATTGCATAAAGGAACACAGCAACAACGAGGCATATTGTCTGCGTCAAATACTTGATAAATGAAAAAAGAGAAATACAACCTGTACTTGCACGTTTTCAATAGTTAAAATCCTTAGCGTCCTCAGGCGCGAACAGCCACAGTCACACTTCTTAGTTTATTTTTAAAGCACAGAAGCACTACAACTGGAGTCTATTTCTCATATATTATAGTCACCGATCACTTTGAACACATACACACACTTTGAAGCTTGGAAAACAAGCTTATCTCTTAATTACAGCCTCTGGGATTCCAAAATCACAAATTGAAAAGGTTATGTTTTCTCGGCGTTTTGAGCACGAGTTGTGTCGATGCAGCAAGCAGCGGCGGGAGTAACACTACCACCTACGTTGCCAGAAGTCTTTGTTCACGACTCGTAGTTGACGTCGGCTGTGATACAACTATATAGTAGAAATCACATAACTTTTTATTCACGTCACAAAAACCCACGATTGGTGGTCGACTTACGTAAAATGGCAAGTCATATAAATTTAATGTGCTAGAAAATGAAGAAGATGTATTAGCATGTCTCACCGACTACAAATTTGTCTACATGGTTGCCGCTTATGCACAGGCTTATTTTGTCGAAATCGCAAGTTTACGGCATGTCGTAAATAATATCATATCGTCATTTTGACGTTCAACTATGAGGTTAAAAATACCACAATACAGGAAACATGATATTAGGATACCACAGGATGTTTCCCATTTGACATGACAGTTCATATTGTCAAAGCCTATCTTCTGTAATGTGTTCCGCGGTATTCCAATATCGACTTATCTCCGACTTACCTCAATACGTAATTCTTCCGTCACTCTCAACTTACATGATATGCAGAGAGAATGAGAAAGATGACGAATGCTGGGAATTCCTACAACATACCAATTTTGAAGATGTATGGCATCACTAGTGATTTGAAGCCTTAAAGTTATGTGACTCGAACTGTAGTAGTACTGCATATCTAACAATGACATTTTTATTTTGGCATTAAACATACAGTCACTTTTGTCAGTTTGCAACTCATATTTCCCCCCAGACGCCATTTTACAGAGCTAACAAAGTTGTTGATAACGACATTACTTGTACTGCCTATTTTGCATAAAAGGGGATAGAAAGCAGAGCTTGTTAACGCGAAAATTCAGCCGAAGCAGGAAAACAGACGTGACAGGAAAATAATCAGCAGCGACACAGCCTTAATAATAATAATACCGACTCTAATCAACATCGGACCTCGTTACTAGGTTGATTCCAGGTGGTTTTGCAGCAGCATTTCTGCGACATTAACATTCCTCAGCACACGTTTGCGTCTATACGAAGGATTTTAAGTTATGGACGTATGCAAATGGCGGCTTTTTGTGTACCAATTAGAAAAATGCGATTGCGGTACATTTACTGAATGTTTTATACATTTTACTGAACGTTTTACATACCCATCTCACAGGCGCTAGATATGCTTTGAAGTCAATTTCCTGGTCTGATAAGAATGAGTGTTTATGGTGCATTAGACTGCGATGATAGCACACGTACTACGTAGGCTAACATTTTTAGATGCTTTAAAGCCAGTAGAAGTAATTGATGATAATCTACAATATTTTCAAGTACCAATGACACTGTAACGAGGATTCAGAGAATGCTTCAAGTGAAGTCAGTACCAAAATAATCACTTCAACACATGCTATCTTCAACATAGCCCAAAAGGATTCAGGAAGATCACTCTATAATGTACTTTTCAGTGGTTAATGTATACTAACTGACATACAAATCCGAACACCCAGTTTAAATGGTTTTATTTTAATAAAATTTTGTATAAGTACTTAATGAAGCATAATAAGTAAATGATAAAAATTTCAAAATGATTGCACCGCTTTAAAGCCCTTTGACCTTTAATAATGTGTGGATGCACCCTGATGTGCTACGCATTCTCCAATATGCGCCTAGGCATGCTTCTGATCAGGTGGTCAATGTCCTCCTGTGGTATCTCATTCCAGGCAACCACCAACTCCTCTCGAAGTGCTTCTAGAGTCTGAGGAGGACGTTGCAAATTGAGCAATCTCCTACCCATCATATCCCACACGTGCTCAATTGGGGATAAGTCGGGAGATCTTGGTGGCCATGGTAACAATGTGACATCATTATGTTGAAAGAAGTCTATTGTGACTCTTGCAACATGTGGTCGGGCATTATCTTGTTGGAAAGTTGGATCTGCCAGGGTGTCAAGATAGGGTAAAAGATGGGGTTCTAGAACTTCGTGGAGATAACGCTGCGCGTTCATGTTACCTCTGATGAAGATTAAAGGTGACCTGGAACCATAAGCTATAGCACCCCAAACCATAACTCCAACAGTGTGATGAACATGTCTTTCAACAAAAAACTGTGGATTCCTCCTTTCACCACGTCGCCTTCTAACACTGGCACAACCATCGTACATGCCTAAACAAAATCGAGACTCGTCACTAAAGACAATACTGTTCCATTCCTGATCCCAGAGTGACCGTTATCTGCACCACTCAAGTCGATTACGTCGGTGTTCTCGAGTTAAAGGGAGGACCCAGTGTGGCCGGTATGAAAACAAGCCAAAACTTCTCATTCGTCGGTAAACACTTCGCATGCCAATAGGTCTTCCGTGTTCTGCAAACCATTCATTTGCACTGGACCTGGTAGTGGAGAAACGGTCCCTTAAGGCCAATAATCTTAGGCGGCGATCTTCACGGTCTGTTGTTCTACGACGGCGTCCAGTGCCCCTTGCTCTTTGCGTACGGCCTTCTCGAAGCCATGCCTGACAACACCTAACCACAGTGTCTACACTTCTTTGCACTCTAACTACAATTGCCCGAAAAAAAAGTCCAGCTTCCCGAAGACCCACTATACGGCCCCTATCAAACTCACTAAGTTGACGAAATCGTACAGGTCTCCATACTCTAGGCATCGTAACCGATCGTAAAGGATGTCAAAAACCAAAATCCGCCAACTTTGATTCTTTACTGCGGCTGAAATATTCATTTTTAGAGCGTTAGTGAATTAAAAAAAAAGCAGTATAAAAACCGGAATGTCCAACCGATAAGGCTGAAGATTTTTTCACTTGTTATTTACAGTAAAATAAATACATTCACCAACTTTTATTAAAATAAAAAAATTTTAAACTGGGTGTTCGGATTTATATGTCACTTAGTATATTATTACCAAAATACGTCAAACAATGGTCACATATTTTGAAGAGACAGTAATGTAATGAAGAGATAGAAATAGTCAATTAACCTTATTTAGACCTGTGCAAAGGACGGATGGAAAAGATAGCTCAAAAAGTATTCGAGTGGGTAACTCCTGAAAGAAGGAAGGGGGAACTGTCAAGAAAAAGCTGAAGAGATGATGCAATACATGCAGTGACAGCTGGGAATGTATAACGTATGTCTTAAAAGTTTTTGACACAACATATTTATAGGATTTTTTTAATGAAGAAATTTATTTTAACTCTAGTTACCATAAATTACAACCCAATACTGAACTAAACTATACTATCGAAAAACATGGAGCGCGGCCCATTCTGCTCTACCGGACGCAACTTACCTAGAATCTCTGCCATGATGTCTTGGACGGAATTCAGATAAATTTCTCTCAGTTTTCGAAAATTCGCCGTCTTAACGGGGCTCCTACAAACAATCACGAGCACCATCTGCTGAGGTAACGGGGGAGTGAAAAGTATTCGAGGGTGGGCTGGCCTTAGATGGTCGTCAGCGCTACTTTAAAACAGGAAAGGAAAGGATGACGGGTGCGTGCCGAGGTACATTTTTATAATAACAGAGTCAGATTTCGGTTAGCGATCTAGCCTGTAAATCGTTTCCTATTTTGGTACTCAGCAAGTGATCATTTAATATTGTTCTACCCTTGTTACTGTTCGTCGATATTGTGTTTTTGAATTGTTGTGCTGTTCTCTTGTTGGTGTGATTGTTCTTGAGTGCCTTTTCTTTATCAAGGTTGGTAATGGACAATAATAGGTCATATGACCAACCTCGCTTATCACTTAGATGGAACAAAGCCTCAAACGCAAGAATCTTGAAAAGAAGCTGATATAAAAATAACTAACAATTCGTATAGCAATTCCAGAGAAAATGAATAGTTTTATGGCGAATTCTGTCAAAAACCTAACATGAACGACACTGATTTGGAGGTTGCTAAGCAAGAATTTTTAGGGAAACTTAGAAAAAGTGATGAGATTTTGCAGATCGAACAAGTTACCAAATCACAGGACTGTACTTTGTGGCGTCTTCATCGGAGGATAAGATAGACAGCGTCTCGATTTGGTGAAGTTTGTAGAAGAAGGCAGACAACAAGCTGTAAAGTTCTAGAAAACTCCATCATATGCCCAACAGAGTTTTCTAGTAAGGCAATAAGAAAAGGCAATACAAAAATCATTGGACAGGGCAGTTCAACTTTGTGGTTTGTTTATTGATCGCACACATCCATTTCTGGCAGCATCACATCCATCTACCTAATGCAGTAGACAAGACATGTACTTAAACCAGGTATAAGCCTACCTGTTTATTGCTTTGCAAAAACTACCTAACTGTTTTCTCTTATCTTGACCGCATAAGATGTTAATGACACTCGTTCAATTGTTACCATCTACCACATGACCATTGTAAACATAATTCTGTTTGTTGATATCAATAAACGAATTTGAATTTGAGTTCTTGAATTTAATTTAGGAAAGATATAAAATTATTTGAATACATTTTTTCTTAGTTTGGAACGCACCGTCGCGTCGCTTGGACTGGCAGGACGAAACAAAAACCGATTTACACTTCACAGCTTACGTTTTATTTTTATTATTTCCAAATGAAACTCTTGCAGCGTGTTAAAAACAATGTCCACAGGGTGCCAGCGATCCACTTTTACGATTTTATCCACTAGGATCTTTTTCAAACATCAAGAAGTTGAGCACAAATAGTAAGTAAGCATTTCAACCCACCATAATTCTTGCGCAAAGATAAAATTTTGTAAAAAGCTCAGATAGCACCCTAGGCAATTATGTCCTGCTTATATCCAGAAAAACATCACAAGCTGCAGAACACAAATTGAAGGTAATGACGAAATTGTTACATTTCACGGGTCATGAAATTCAAATGCAAATGCAGGTATAAAATCTACCAAATTATCATTCTCAAAAACATATTTCCTTGACATATCGATAATTTTAAAGTTCCAGGCTAAATTCCCCTATACTTGACTGGAGTGATATCCGAATTTATTCTTCCCTACTGTCGGTAGTTGCAGATCTTTTGGCTCTTGGTGTCAAACCTATAGAGCAGGTACCGATTTTTTCAAATCGAGAGCACATTATTCGTTTGATTATCGTTACTTAAATTTCCTGTAATCACTGGGATCAGAAGCTTCTTAATAATAGGACGTGTTTCACTGATTTCAACCCCTTCTTTTTAAGTAGTAGAATTTTTCCATGTCAATGATTAGGAACCCCTGAAACGTCAAAAACGGAGCTTCAGCAATTGTTACTTTTTCTTTTTTGCCTATAGCACCGTTGCCAATGGACTAAAACTACAAAGCTTTGGCATACTAGTAACCCCGTGTGGAAATTTCATAAAAATCCGAGCGGTAATCTCCAAGTTGATGATGAGTGCTCCAGTTTTACATGATGTAGATGTCATATGACTTAAAAAAACATATCTTGTTTTATAAATTTTTCGCGATTCCAAGACTTCCTCGCCAATGGCGTGGGAAGTAAAACGGCTTTAAGATCTAGGAGTATCAGCGATCGCGATTATGAGTACCTCTTTGCAGAACGACTTATCTACGCGATATTATATGCAACGCTTGGGAAACAGTAGACAAAATTTGTCCAAAATACGATTTGTAGAGGCTTCGAAATTGACGCTATATTTTTTGATATTTTCGGATGAAAGTTTGACAGAGTGCTGAAAACAAAACCCCACAGGCTGCTATAGAGCCACTTTTTCATTTTTTTCACTAGGTTCTTTTTAAAAAAATCGCAAAGTTGAACAGAAAAAGTGCGCACATCAACCCATCATAAAACTTGTGCAAAAACAAAATTTCAAAAAGTGCTCCTATAGCACCCTGGGCAATTATCTTCTCAACATACTGTATTAATTTCATTCAAAAGTATTGAAAAATGGAGTGTCAGTTTCGAAGCAGCTGAACCCTTGTAAATGGCTTGAAACTCACTGCGTTGGAGCCGCCTTAACTGTTTTTCAGCTTGGTCTTCCCAGCCTCCATAATAAACCTAAATACTACAAGATCTTTTGTTGCTCTTCAGAAAGTTTCCTTGAAAGTATGTCCAAAGATCATTATATAAAATCCTTGCTCCTAAAATGGACACAACTACAAATTGATAAGTTGCTAAATAAGACGTCAGCCTATTTTGCGAAACTATCCTTCACGCACGCCAACTGAGACCAACACAAGCATCCTCGACAAGGCAAAAAGTCCATAAAGAAAAACTTCAAGCAAGTACTGTGCTGTCAGGCAGTGTGATGATGCATGGCCCGCGGACAACAATGCCTACATAACCTACAAACGAGTACGCTCCGAAGGAATAGCGACCTGCAATCTGCAGGGAGATTATCCTGCAATGTTGCTTTGATGATAATGGCCGGTTATTACGAGAATCGACTACCGCGCTGCTGGAATCTATTTAGTTCGAGTAGGTTGTAATTGTTATTATGCCCTTGTTCGTTGGCGTATTCATCGGCAGCTGCTGAAAATTTCGCACTTGCACGTTGATGCGGACTTTCAACAGAGTAAGAGGTAATCTGATTTCCTGATGCAGGCCAGAATGTCTGACCAACGGAAGAGCAAAAGCATAAGTGTCATATCTACGGTCTGGATTAGACGAAAATGTCAATTGCTGATTGGATATTTGCATCATTAGACCTTAGGTAGTGCCAATTTTTGTACCTTGGATAGCCTGCAGTCAACAAAGGTTACCAGCAGTGCTGTTCTACTTATTATAACTAATTTATGGGAAATTCTATTATCTAATGATGTCAGCTTCATTTCTGTTCCTATTCCAACTTCCACCATCTGTGAAGCAATAGAAAAACCATTTTTTCTTTGTTTAGCAATCGATGCAGACCCTGTGCAGAACATATTTCAGTTATGCGTTTTTTAACTGAAAAGGCATCTGTTAATTTTTTTTACGCCTTTATTACAAAAATATGTACATGTTACATACTGAAAGTGAGACTCAACTGGCGAAGTTTAGCAATGCTACTCTTACACTTAAACAGCTGAATCAATAAATACTGTGATGTTAAATAATAAAAAATATACATACATATATATAAACACACACATATATATATATATAACTTGAGACGTGGTCATGGTCGTCTAGACCAGTTAGGTGAAAAATTAAAGCTTCCGCCTTTTGTTGGGTACTTCGACAAAAATTTAAGCAACGAGGACTTTTTATACCTTTTTTATTCTCTCTAGCTTTCAATGGACTTTGCCATCATCATCAGGAGCTGCAATTATATTGATATCAGTAGCAAAAATAGTGTAAAATGAATTTAAATTGACTTAACATCCTCACATACTACTGTAAGTTACGCTAAACAATTTATGAAATATTTACTTTGAGCTTTATCCGCATCATGATACAAGTGGCTGCCGGCTGCAGATGTATTAATGAATATGATGCCTATCAGCCTGATAACACCCTTGACAGAGTTAGTTAGATCGTACCATTCACGAAGCTAACTGTTTTCAATTTATGGCTAATTGGGGTACACCTTTCCGCGGTAATTGAAAATATTTATGTTCCCTGGAGGCCTTTTTGCTCGTATTACCTCCCGCATATCCAGCGTATACAGCTGCATCCATCAAGGGAATAAATAAAGTACCATTAACATAAGATATATCTGATCCTGGTAGCTACGTGGGTCGTCAAGTGGTAGCAGTTTGAGATTATTCACATTCTGTTCATGAACGGGTGTTGATCCTTAGGCAGACAGGGGCATTCAGGCTCAATACGAGCATTACACAGCCCATCATCATATAATGCCCCACTTTTTATTACATTTTTGATAGACCATTGTAAAAGAAGGCGATTCATATAACATACTTTGTAACAAATTGTTCAGCTATAAGGTATTTTATCTAAAAAATATCAAAGCTTGATATTCTGCTGACTAGTGAATTTTAAGTCAAAAATATTATGTAATACTGAATTTCAGCCTAATACAACAATTTTTCGGATTGTTTGAATGAATACAGAGTGGTCAAAAATGCAAAATGTACTTTTTTGCAAAAAAAAAACTAAATGAAACAACCTGCATATGTTTGTACTATCGGATCCCCATTTCCATGGACATTTTTTATACAAAAAGCTTGTTCAAACAGTGTCTGCGTTATAACTATTTGTTTCAAATAATTAGATGTTTCTATATTCAAACAAGTCACGCCATCCACGGAAACGGAAAACAACTAAAGGATTATTGACAACATGTCTATGAAATCAGGTTTTCATAAAAAAAAACAAGTAATTTAAAGTTTTTTACAGATGGATATAATATAAAATTCATTTTTTTTAGATGACTGAAAAAGACGCCTATAAGTAAACATAACTAAAATTTAAAATAGTTGTAATAATACTAGCAAAAGTGTGCTTATGAAAATCGGGATCCGATAGCGTAAAAAATATAAATCTTTCACGAAAAAATATATTTTGCATTTTGACCACCCTGTATTAATCATTCGAGAAATTCAAATAAAATTTAATATTATAAAATATTTCTGACAAATCCCACTACTTCAGATATCAACCTAGCAAGAGCACAAACTATCAAGGTTTGATGTTTTTTTAGATGCAATACCCAATAGCTCAATGACTAATTATCAAAACCCATTAAAATGTTGAATCTATCTGCATTTATTTAAACGCTCTATCCGAATACGCAATAAAAAGTCTGGCATCCCATTTAAAAAAATGTGTCAAAATTGGGACACCCTGTATAATGGTGAATATTTTGGAAACACGCATCCAGATACCATATATAATTAGGTGATCAAACAAACTTACCTGTAAGTGATGTTCGATCTTAATTATGTGAAGTCCTCATCGAAGTAAATATTTAGAATACATATCGTAGTACCCTCGTACAAGTATCCAACCGCCACGATTTCAAAGCTCGCGCACACAGAAGGAATTCATCAATATCATTCCTTGTTCTCTTGCCCGACCGTCCACACGTTAACCGACGCGCGTCGTTTACGTGCAGTGCAGTGTCGAGGATCCGCTGAACATTTAGAATTAGAAAGCAGGACAGAAGGTTGGCCGATAGATGTGCATTGTCGAACGAGATACCGACCGACGGTCGCCTAAAGGTTCCTTTGGTCGCGGACCAAAATTAGAACGTGGCATGCAGGCCTCTTTTTTTGAAGGGGCGTCACCATCAGGTAACTGTCAGCTAACCGATCTGTTTGAGGTGCAAATTAAATTAATATTAGTATGGATGCTGTGACGCTGCAAACTGTGCCTAACATGACGTTTGGGATAACGTTCTGACACTGTTGCTTGGGATAGCCACCTGGACCTAGCTTGTGATAGCCAACTCCATACCAAGGACGAACAAAGGCGTTTGGCATAACGCTGAAACATTGGACTCGCTTGCTTGGTATAGCAACGTGGACCTGGCTTGGGATAGTCAGCTCCACACCAAGGATGAACGAAGACATATGGGATAACGTTGTAACATTGGACAACATGGACCTAGCACACCAAGGACGAATGAAGATGTTTGGAATAATGATTCAATAGTGAACATCGTTGCACAAATAACAACACTGAAAGCGTTTGGGACAACGTGGGGTTTGGTACAGCTAACGAGGGTACTACGATATGTATTCTAAATATTTACTTCGACGATGACGGAACATAATGATACATAAATAGCTTACTTTAAATGATTTTTGTTTGGGAGCAATATTTCGTCTTCGCTTGGTTGGGATTCTTGTTCTTGTAATGGGTTCTGCTCTGGTCACTTTTGTCTTGATTTTTCCACTATCAAGTTAGAGGTGCTGATACTACGTATATAGTCTAAAGGTGAGAACCTCTTGAAACTGTCTAATAAGACACTCATATAGTCCTCTTAAATTGTAACACTATGGGCAGAAAAATCAAATAAAGCTCAAAATTCGTATTGTGATAAAGGCCAACTTGAATTATCTGAGAATCAAGTAATTAATAGGTGACGAAGTATTTGAAGATTTTTGAATAGTCGGTGGGACAATAAAAAAAACTCATAATAATCTGTAGCTTTAAAGTAGGTGTTAGGGCCATATCGTCAGTCGTTCCTACAATTGTGTGGCCTCCTTGATTTTCATAGCCATTTCTCTCCTTCAAAAAGGCTGAGGTATTTCTAGATTGCTACTGTTCTGTATCAGCGTCAGCTCTCTCGAACTGTGAGGCTAAGTTTTCTTTTTTGAATTGTAAGAAATTTCAGGCAGGTGTAACAGAAGATACTAAAAAAAGCATGAACAATTTGACGCAAATTGATATTGGTAACATAACCTCAACATAGAGCGCTAACACGGAACAGTAGAAAGCTATGAAAATGAAGAAGGAACGACTGATATTCCATGTTTACAAGCATCATTCACTGAGAATCTCAGGTTGTCAGGAATGATCGCGTTACTTTTCAATGTGCGACTATATTATCCTGGAAGACTTATACATGGACGTCTATGATCATGCTACTGTATTCTGTAAATAAGGAAATATTCAGATGGCTGTTACGCTTCAGTTATCAGTCCCGAAACTGTTAATGAGCAATGGCTCGTAGCTGCTTTTTCTACTAGATTCGTTAGCGGCAAGAGTTATGATGTCAGCAACTACATTGTATATTTAAACACTCGGTGTGCTTTTGTTATGTTACACTGTGGGCTGATATCCTGGATGGTCAGAATATTCGCCACTATTCGCCAGGAACGATGTGCATAGCAGAAGTAACTGAATAATAATAATAAAGTGACTTTATTGATGATTGAAGCTTCATGGCTACTCTTCCACTTATCCCCAATATGGACGAAACATAACTAAAAGTTTACACAAGAAACATAAAACACTACAGAACACTTATCAAACTATATTATTTACAACAGTAGCCAGAAAGAAAAGGGTAACGTTAGAAACATAAACGAATGATTAAGACAAAAACAAAACAACAACTCAAGCATTGGGAGATGTTTTCATCCCTAACAGCTGTTATCTAACTGATTTTTTAAAGGCAAGTAAACCTTTTTTGTTTGTTGGACGTACTAAGTGAATTGTATAACTTAACAATCAAGGAGGCCATAAACGCGCCCTACAATTGTAGAGACGACTGACGATACGGGCCTTAGGTGCTGGAAGTCAGGGTTATACTCAACTTTACTGGGGCATGCTAGAGGATCAGGAAAATGTAGTGGTGCATCATGTGGCATATGCGTTGGCTCCTTTAATTCATTCAACCTTATACATGAATAGTTACTGACGCCTTGTCTACACGATTAATAAATTTACTCGCCGATAAATACTGACGGGTCAGTTATCTTGTCTGATCATCTTCCTCTCAATTCCGAATACTGATTATATTATTTTTGCGGAAACGCTCAATTATCCCATAGTATAAATATTAATCTATAAAGATATTCGCAGATAAATCAGCCTCTCCGTTACGCAACCGGGGCACGTTCCATCCTGCCACCAATCACATCTACATGCTAAGCAAACAGTTGAATCGCCTTCCCGCCATTTTTCTCTACGGACGCATTTCCGGCGTGCGGTAGATCGATCGAAGGCGGCCTTGGCCGATCGGCGTTATCGACGTTTCGTCCTCCGGTCCAGTCCACAGAACTAAAAATTATGAAGAATGGAGAAGCTGTCAATGACGGTTAAGCTCTGCAATCTACCTAGAAACAAAATAACGAGAAATCACAGGTTGAACATCGTAAAAGGAACGTGAAAATGACCTCCTAATGTCACATACTCATTACGTCATACATACAGGTATATACAAACTAGCACTATAGGCCTAGTAGGCCCACGGCTTGATTGGTGATCCTTTGCCATTACTCGCTATTCATTGCTCTTCTTTCCCAATCACTCATATTCAATGTACTCACGTCGTTTTTCACCTCAGTTTTTCGCCTCGTCCTGGGTCTGCCTCTCCTTTTCTTCCCTCCTATTGAATGACGTCATATGACGTAAATTATACGTCACTTGTTGGACGTGAAGAAGACGTTTATTATTCATAATGAATAACCAGTTTTAGTTTCTTCGAAACATCATTTACTGTGTTAACATTAATATTAGCGACGAAAAATGGCCCTCTATCCCTCACTTTACCAGTTTACACGACGTTTAGGGTGGGAACACTACGGTATTGTTGCCATTTTTACACACTACGAGCTGCTTCACGCTACGGATGACACACATAGTACTATACACAACATACTAGATAGTTTTCAAAATGACCTGTTTTTCTATAAGCTTTGGGAATATTTAGTACGAGGTCCCCGATACCAATGGCGGGAGCACGGAAGCACTGTCAGTTGTCACTCGATACAGCGTTGCCAGATTAGCATAAAGACATTTCCAAGAGCACATGGAATAGCTAAAATGTCATATGTATTTTTTGTTTTGTATGTTCTATCTGAACGTTGTATTCAATGAAGTCATTTTTTATTCATTTTGCACCCACACATATTCCCACGCATCATTAAATATTATATACAGGAACGCTAGAAATATAAAAACATCGTACATATAAAAATATAACTTCAAAAACACGTCATAATAACGTCCTACAGTACACGTACATAATTGGACATATAGTAGACGTCATTACGACGTCGATATTTGGATTACGTGGGTTGGCGAGTTATCACCAAATTTCGACGTCACTGAGTCGTGTTTGTGCTAGCTGGGTATCCAGTATGGTGGTTAAAAAACGCAGGAGACAGCAGATTGTAAACTCCTCGAAGCAAAAGGATTATTTTTTTCAAAATATGAAGTAACAGGCTCACATAGAAGTTTTGGAGAGAGGTTAGTTTCGTAAATTCGTCTGTGACTACAGCCTGTCTAGTGACATGATAGCATTAGTTGCTCACGAACTGATTTTCTGACCTAAGTTAAAGTCAGCTTCTGACGTGAGCTAAGTTGTCGATCGGAAGAGCGATTCCAAGAGTAACGTACCATACCTGTCATCTGTCAAGGAGCGAGTCATAAGATAATAATTAGTGTATATGTTTTGTGATGAATTAGACGTTGTTAATTTGTGGTTGTAGTTTCCTCCAGAATTAATCACTAAATAGAGACTGCGAAATTATTTACAAACATTAAAGATACCCAACCTCAATTATGAACGTCAAACATTCAAAACGTCGCATTTCGCACCAACTTGCACCAGCTAAGATATCTCAGACGAAAATCCGGGAAGGGGGGAGGTAAGATTCTAACTAAGTTGTAATCGTAAGCGTCGCTCATTTAGTTTTATTTAGGTTAGGTCAGAATGTGTGCTATTCGTAAGAAATGATTGAATGGCACTAATAGTTGTTCGTGTATGGGCTGTCATTGCGTGAAAAAGTGACATTTTAATTCTTCCGAATTCTTAGTTCTGTGGTCTGATCTAATGGCGCGGAAAAAATGACGGCGTTCTATCGCAGGAGGCTAGCGTCACCGATCGCCGAGTCGGCTGTTTGGCGCGAAGTCGTTGATCCGGTGAGGTTGTTGATCCGAGTCGCAGCTCACTACGATCGACGGGTGTTAGGTATGATTGCACAGGTACTTAGGATAGATAAGAAGCGTTTATCAAATTAGGCATGGGAATATCAATTTTGGTTGTATCCCCATCTGGCTCCGTCAACTTGTCTGGTAAAGTAGATCTGATGCAGGTTTATATTTGATCCGCGAAAGTTTGGTCACGATATACATAAAATCAGGGAACTCAACTGGTTGAAAGTTGATAAGCTCCATTCACATATATCTTATAAATGTCTTTACTCCCAAGGTTCTACTAACTAACAGACCTTTCTAGCAAATTAATTCCCCGTGAAAATTACTTTTGCAGAACTCTTAGGTTAAAAATTATACTAAGTGACATATAAATCCGAACACCCAGTTTAAATGGTTTTATTTTAATAAAATTTTGTATAAGTACTTAATGAAGCATAATAAGTAAATGATAAAAATTTCAAAATGATTGCACTGCTTTAAAGCCCTTTGACCCTTAATAATGTGTGGATGCACCCTGATGTGCTACGCATTCTCCAACGCGCCTAGGCATGCTTCTGATCAGGTGGTCAATGTCCTCCTATGGTATTTCATTCCAGGCAACCACCAACTCCTCTCGAAGTGCTTCTAGAGTCTGAGGAGGACGTTGCAAATTGAGCAATCTCCTACCCATCATATCTCACACGTGCTCAGTTGGGGATAAGTCGGGAGATCTTGGTGGCCATGGTAACAATGTGACATCATTATGTTGAAAGAAGTCTATTGTGACTCTTGCAACATGCGGTCGGGCATTATCTCGTTGGAAAGTTGGATCTGCCAGGGTGTCAAGATAGGGTAAAAGATCGGGTTCTAGAACTTCGTGGATATAACGCTGCGCGTTTATGTTACCTCTGATGAAGATTCAAGGTGACCTGGAACCATAAGCTATAGCACCCCAAACCATAACTCCAACAGTGTGATGAACATGTCTTAAAAAACTGTGGATTCCTCATTTCACCACGTCGCCTTCTAACCCTGGCACGACCATCGTGCATGCCTAAACAAAATCGAGACTCGTCACTAAAGACAATACTGTTCCATTCCTGATCCCAGAGTGACCGTTGTCTGCACCACTCAAGGCGATTACGTCGGTGTTCTCGAGTTAAAGGGAGGACCCAGTGTGGCCAGTATGAAAACAAGCCAAAACTTCTCACTCGTCGGTAAACACTTCGCATGCCAATAGGTCTTCCGTGTTCTGCAAACCATTCATTTGCAATGGACCTGGTAGTGGAGAAACGGTCCCTTAAGGCCAATAATCTGGGGCGGCGATCTTAATGGTCTGTTGTTCTACAGCGGCGTCCAGTGCCCCTTGCTCTTTGCGTACGGCCTTCTCGCAGCCATGCTTGACAACACCTAACCACAGTGTCTACACTTCTTTGCACTCTAACTGCAATTGCCCGAAAAGAAAGTCCAGCTTCCCGAAGTCCCACTGTACGGCGCCTATCAAACTCACTAAGTTGACGAAATCGTACAGGTCTCCGTACTCTAGGCATCGTAACCGATCGTGAAGGATGTCAAGAACCAAAATCCTCCAACTATGATTCTTTACTGCGGCTGAAATATTCATTTTTAGAGCGTTAGTGAATTAAAAAAAAGCAGTATAAAAACCGGAATGTCCAACTGATAAGGCTGAAAATTTTTTCACTTGTTATTTACAGTAAGATAAATACATTCACCAACTTTTATTAAAATAAAACCATTTAAACTGGGTGTTCGGATTTATATGTCACTTAGTAATTTTAACATGCATCGAAGTTTGAAAGAAGTTATACCTTTAATGCTGTCAAGAACTACAATTTTTGTCAACAGTGCATACTGATCTAAACAGGTCGCTTCTTTCACGAAATCGATGGAAAGTCAGCTGATGGAGTCCATCTAGCTATCTATATTATGCCCTTGTGAGTGTTATCTTCTTTGAACTGACACCGCGTTTCATGTCATTATTAATCCATATTGGTGCGTGAATATATGTTTATTGTTTAAAATCTGTTCAGTAATATTATTTTTTATTCTTTGCAACATGTATATTTTTTTCTATTCCCTGCTTTGGGCTTAAGTTTAGGACTAGCTATCTGCATAAACTTCGCCTCGCGGCATTAAAGGCATTACTATCATTATTCTTATTATTTTTTTCCTTTTTGACTGTCTTCTATGAAAATTATTTTTTATCTAACACCATACGGGTCTATTCTTGATATTTTGTTTGTTCCTTTTCTTTGTTTTTTTCTGTGTATATCCAATTCATTCTTGTTTATTTTTCTCTATTCTTAATAATATTGTCACTATATTCTAGTAGATGATAGGATAAACATTCTTTTGTCAACCGATTTTGTAACAGTTAGAGTTGGTTTGGTTCACGTTTTATTGTTAGTCTCCCACCATTTCTGCTGTTTTAATGAATAACAGTTTTATCATATCTAACCTCTCTACCCTTCCTACACACTTCTCCCGAGCCAGGAAGTCAATCGATAGAACCATAGCAACCATCAATAGTGGCTCGTTCCTATAGACAGAAACCATGCGCAGTACTAGGCACTGGATTTTGAGCAGAAACAACCCATACATCTTCGTTTTCGATACCTTACTTCAGATAGAGGTTGCATACAGTATAATCCAGTTTGTTACTTTTGCCAATCTCTTCTCACCGCTCCGTTCTTATCGACATCTTTCACGTCTTTGTGTTTGACTTGGCTTCTTGGGTGCTAACACTGATTCATTCTGTTCTATCTGTATGGCAATTCTAGAGATTCCCAGTGATATCTGCCTTCCTAGTGTATTTTTTTCCTGCTAGTCCATATCACCGCTAGATCAGGATATCTTACCATCCGATTTCGTGACATCACCTGAATTCATAGAATCACATAGTAGAAGACTTCAAAACAATGGCCCTGAGAAAGAGCCTTGCGGTACTCATTTCCAGTATACATGGCAAGATGTGTGATGTGCTACTGTGTTTCTTTGAAACTTCTGAATCCCCGACCAAATCCACATAGTAGAGCACACTCTAAAACAATGGTCGTAAGAAAGAGCCTTGCGGTACTCCCATCGCCTGCTTTTCCATATACATGACAAGAACCTGGTACGATGGTGTGCTGCTGAGATGAAAGGGTTGATCATATGTCGACCCAAATGTTTAAAGCTAATATGTAATATCGTCAGTATCTTTGGACTAGGAGAACAGTACGTACGTTTCCAGCTAAAATAGGTCGTTGAGGTTTAGCAAATGACATCCATACCCAGCGTTCAATATCTTCTGAATATGAACTAATATAAAGCATGTATATCTTCATTAAAACCATGGATATAGATAACGAAATTCCCAGTGTGCAAGAACTTCACTCTGATAACTAATCAGTTGTTTACAAACAAGAATATCTAACTGTAATTCGATTACAAATGAACCTGTCAAATACCCCAACCATCTTGAATGCAGACGTTGCCCAAAACCGTTAACGAACGGCCTTAGATAAGGCAAGATAGGCGCGAAGTTAGGCTGGCCATACACTGGCAAAATGACCAAGACAATATGTGTGTGCAATAGCTTTGAAACAGTTGCTTTTGAAACAGAGAACATTATACAGGGTGACTTTGAAGTTGAGTCATTAATTTTCAGATAATGATTGTAGAAGGAAGATAAACCAAAATATGTGTGTAAAAATAAAAAAAAAATTAAAAAAAATGTTACCTTGTTTTATAAAGTATCCTCCCGACAAGTATTTCAGTGCGGACCTGTATTTGATCGTGCGGTCTTGGAGCACCGGCATGCCGTCCCCTGTGAGGTCTTAAGTCACCTGATTCACGAGCCCTTTGTACTACATTAACAAAGGCACGAGGGGTTGGTTGCACTCGATTGGGAAACCGATCCGCATAAATCCGTGATACCGCGTAAATAAGAATCATGTCCACAAGTTCAGCATTTTCGTAAACATGTGTCATTTTTGATTTCGTTTGAGCCACGCAACAGACACCACTATTCACTCACGCGTTACCGACTGACACTGACTGTATACAACTGAATAAAATAATTGTAAAAACATCGTTCCAAATTCTTTCGCTTTTTTGTTTCCGATGCGATGAACCGATAAGGCGGATTATATCCGTTGTTGCCAAGCACGAGCACATATTATTATTGAGACAGGGCGGTACTCAAACTTCCAAAGGGCTATAACTTTGTTACTTTAATTTTACCAGAAAAATGGTAAAGGAAAAAAACATTTCTTTTGATCAGATCTACTCACTGTTAAAATAAATGACTCAACTTCGAAGTCACCCTGTATAG